GTGCCGTTCTTTAAATTGAAATTGTGTCATGCAACTGTAGCCTGAGCAAAATTTGGAAAAGGAAATATAGAGGATAATGTTCATGCCAGTCTGCTGCTGGGAGGAGGAGGCTGTGCAGTCAGAGGATCACTGCACCCATGATTTGGGAAAAGCAGAGCATTGGAGAACTGACAAGGTGCCCATGCCAGGACCAGGCAGGAAAGGGCCAGTGTAAATGAACGGCTTTGCAGCTGTTTTAGGAAATTATTGGTGTCCAAATAGAGTGACAAGTCAATGGACCACCCAAAGCTGGAAAACAAGAACTCAGTTTAATAAGGAGACAAGATGGGCACAAATAGAACAGAACAGGACAGAGAGGCCAGGAATCAACTCTCACATACACAGTGACTGGTCTTTTGAATTCGATGTAATTTTAATTTGATGGAGAAAGGTACATATCTTTTCAACAAACAATGCTGGCTATATATGTGGAAAAAAATGAACACTGGACTTTCCCCAACACCATGCGTGAGCATGTATTTGAAATATGTCATAGGCTTGAGCATAAAAGCTGAAAGTATATGATTTCTGAAAGAAAGTCTAAGAAAAAAATCTTGGCAATGAAGGGGATGCAAAGCCATGTTGGTTCAGGGCAAATACAGATGAGGGGAATCAGATTTCATCAATCTTGAAAAATGACATTAAGAAAATGGAAAGGCAAGTCTCAAGCCTGTAAGAGATCATTTATATGTACATATCTGACTTGTCTGAGATATTTGAGACCCATATTGTAGGCAAAAGACTTGTCTCTAGAATAGCAGTGCTCCAAATGATCAGTCAGCAGTGCATACACAGCACATAGATAGGTAGAAGGGGCAGTCATGATGGAAGACATTTTCAGACAACAAATGAGACAAGAAAAGCCTCTATTTACCTTCAAAAGGACTATTTTTAAGTATATGAGTGTTTTTCCTGCATGTATGTATCTGCACTGTATACATGCAGTGCTTATGGAAGCCAGAAGAGGGCATTGGATACCCCCAAATTGGAGTTACAAGTGGTTGTGAGCTGCCATATGGGTACTAGGAATCAAACAGAGTCCTCTGCAAAAGGAAGTATTCTTAACCACTGAGCATTTCACCAGCCCTTTTCTCTCTTGTTTTTTGAAACAGCTTTTAGGCTGCCCTGGAACTTTCTAGGTATCCTGAGGTTGGTTGAGTTCAGCTTATCCTCCTGCCTTAGCATTATCCTGCATCATTTGGCTTGAGACTGAAGTTGGGGGGGGTCTGTACAATGTAATAAGTTGCTTTCTGTGGTGGTTTGAATGAGAACTGTCCCCCATAGTCTCAAGTATTTAAATATTTGGTTAAGTGGTGGTCCTGTATGGGGAGGGACATGGAACCGTTAGGAGGTGTGTAGACTTTGAGCATTCATAGACTTGCCCCACTCCCAGTTGCTCTCTCTGCTTCCTGTGTGTGCTTGAAGATGTGACTGCTGAGCTTCCTGCTCCAGCTGCCTTTTCCTCCATGCCTTCCACCGTGATGGGCTCTTACCCCTCTGGAACCATAAACCAAATAAAGTCTTCTAGAAGTTGCCTTACTCGTGGTGTTTTATCACAGCATTAGAAAAGTAACTAGTATCATTTTCCTTTGAGTGAAAGGGGGAGGAGAAATTAAATGAACCTGAAGGTAAAGTCATCCTGGTTGAACTAATCTTAATTCTCAGAAGAAACACATAGGGTGCCATCTTGGCAGTGATTGTCCCAGTAAGTGGACCCAGGAAATCCCATGAAATGGAAAACCACCTTACAGGGTTCAGCGGATTTTTCTCTATCTGACTGGCTTGGCTGAGAAAAACTTCAAGACTCAATAGTTTGGGGAGGAAGTCTGTGCAATTCATGACATGTGACTCCAGAGCAAGCGATCTGCTCCCAAGATGTTTGGTTCCTCTAATTCACTCTTTTAAAAAATTATTATTTTTTAAAATTTTATGTGTATGAGTGTATTGCCTACATGCAAGTGTACTCATGTAGTGCCCGTGGAGGTCAAACAATGACTTTCTGAAGAGTTCTATGATCCTAGCAATGACTTACCTTTTCTGCATAAGTTCATAAATCCAATAGAAAATATTTGATTGGCTATTTGGTAACATACCGATTATGTACAGTTTTTCTACTGCTCTAGTATCTAAGTTCATTTTCTGTAAAAGTGGATATTTTCATAACAAAAAAGTAGTCATCTCAAAGTTGAGATTCATTCAACAAAATATTTTAGTTCAGTAACTACTTAAGACTTAGACTTTAAAACCACTTGGAATTTTTTTTCATTTCTAATATTTTCATTGAGTTGTATGCTTTTCATATAATACATCTTAATCAAATTTAGATCCTCTTCCTCCCCCCATCATGCCCCCCCCAGATATCAGGTATTCGGTCATATATGTTAAGTCCTTTCAGTCAAGCATTTCTATCAGGTGTCCCTTGGTGCAAGTTCCTCCACTGGAATCTAGTCAGTCCATCTAGTGACACTCACTTAAGAAAGATCTACTCTCACTGCACAGTAATCATTTGCCAATAGTTCCTTGGTTAGGGTTGTGGCCTGCTACCCATTTCTCCTGTCCTATGCTGGGTTTTTGTCTTAATGAGTTGGCATGGGACTTGTGCTTGCTAAAACCATTGCTGCAAGTTCAAAACCATTTGGAATTAAGAGTCACCCTTTCTCTAAAATACCCAACAGCTTTTAGAGTCTGGATGGTGTTAGATAGGCCTGGAAAGGGAATTCCCAGTCCATTCCCTCCCCTGCCCCCAACTTCTGCATATGGTGTCAAGTAATTGAGGCAGAATATTTTTCAAGGTGAACAATAACCAAGATCTTGACTCCTCCAGAAAAATTTGAAAATATTCAGGTTTGAAAATGCTCACACGTTAAACATTGTTTTTTATTAATGAACATGGTTTATTATATCAACCAATGAATGAAGCCAGTTCCATTAAAATGGAAGCAACAGAGACTTGTCAAAATAAACCTTACACATGATACTGAAAGAGATGTGTGAGAAAATATATTTAATAAGTGAAAAGGTTTTGCATTTCACTAATATCCCCATGTAGCAGAAGCCCTTAGAAGAGCAAAGCAAGGTGGGAACTGATGAGCAGTGAGGGGTGGGGGGGACTCTCCTTTCCTCTATGTGAACCACCTCACTCAGCAGCTGGCATTGCTCTTTCCTAAGCAAAGTGAGACTAGGGTTAAAGGACAAGTCACCTGCCATTTTACAATTTTGGAGAAATGGAATAATTTAGTGGTGCATTTTACAGCTCTTTTTTTTTTGTTCCTCAAAGAGCAATGCTAAAACCATGCTTTCAGGGTACTGATGTACACAGGGATGGCAGGCTTAACTATATAGGCAACTTCTCTAATTTTATTTCTTACTTGCTATCTACTGGACTGGTAGAAATACTGAAAGTAGAGTAGATAAGAAAAGGTAAAAATAGGCAAAAAAATTAATAATTCCTTCAGTATCCACTCGGGTTAGGTTCCACAGCCCCCTGGATTCCAAAATCTGCATGTTGGAAGTATATTGGCATATAACTACTGAAATTCTCCTAAGTACTTTATGCCAAGTGTAGATTACTTCTAATATTTAATGCAGTATAAATGCTTTGTAAATAATTGTTGCATTGCATTGTTTAGGGGATGATGATAAGAAAATGCCTGTACGTTCACTATGGACACATGGATGCGAAACAGACTACAGAGCCCATCTGTATACAAACACAAACTGAAAACACACAAGACCCCAGATGCAGTCAGAGTTCTTGATTTCTGTTCTCATAAAGTAGCTGCTCACTGAAGTAGAGTCTGGTTCATTGGCTGATTAAAAACAAGAAAGAAGCTGTGGTTATTTTAAATATATGGATCAACAACATAAAAGAAAATTTATAAACATAAAGAGTACTAACAGCCTTACTGGGAGAACATATCAAATTGGTTCTATGAATCAGCTAAAGAAAGAATTCAGTAACTTGTCTTAAAGACCCACTGCATTTGTGGGGGGACATGGGAAGTAAAACTAAGACTAGAATTTAAGTGTCCATTCTGTCCTTCAGGTCAAACTGCCTATCCTACACGGCAAGGAACAGATTTTGCCTATTGTTCCAGTCCCAGAAAGAGTGAAGCAGATTTTTGGCTGTTCTGTTTTGTTTTGTTTTGACATGCTGTGCTTTGGGCAAAATTTCTGCAGAGTGGTTTCACATCTGTTCACAGAGGTGGAATTCAGGGGTGCTTGGTACACGAATGAAGAATATCCCTTGTCTTTTGATCTTGTTTATCCTCTTCTGAGGAGATACTTAACACAAGTGGAGTTATTTTTGCTTTCTATGCAGTATTAATTCCAGGAAATATTCAAGAAAGACAGCGCAGAATAACTTTCTGTCTCACAGACCCTGAACCCCATCTTTGAGATGTTTGTGTTGCCATATTTATATTCAGAGACTATTCACACCGAAACAGATACCAACTTCCAGCACTTGGCTTCTATGTCCAAAATCACATAGGACTGTGTAACACACAAAAATAATACCTGGATTACGGTCCAATTAGACACTTTAGAAGGAATAAAATTGTCAAATTTTATATCTTGTTCTTAAATACTATTGATTTTCTGACTACCTTGCAAATTGCAACCATCAGCTCTAACAGAGACTGAAATGTGTTTGGCATCAAGTCTTTAAAAATACACTTCTTCTCTTCCTAGAAACCTGCATTAAACTTATCATTGGAAAGCACACAAATTTTGTCCCAGATTGTAAGAATCATAATCTCACAAATGTCCACGTAATCCCTTTTCTCACCCACGTGTGCTCGCATAGGCTTAGTAGTACTTATAACGCATGTCTTCTTCTCTACAAGATTAAGTTGTTTAAAAAGTTTAAAATAACTTTGTTTTTAGTGTGTTATCAACCCAGTGGGGCACATTTCTCAAATCTGAAAGATTTGTTTTGGGAACATAGAGAGGGGGGTCACTCACACGACATGGTTAGAAGCATCTCCACAGTTAGGTCCTGACTTCAGCTTACAGGCCAGGGGCTCACAGCAAAGATTGGTGCATTCCTTCAAACCATGACAAAGCAGTCATTCAACCGTTCCCCACATTTAGGTATAAGACAGCAATGAAGTGGAATTTCACTTTTTAAACTAAATTACCTTGTTTCACAAATTTGAATGACAATAACCAGGGAAATTTAATATTAGAAATAAATGCTGTGCTCGCTGAACACTGTCTCCTCAAAGAATGCATATAGACTCATGCAAAAATTTCTACAAATAAATTTGGTCTAGAAGGTATTTCATGTAAATCAATTGAACACTTCAAAGTGGAAAACTTCTAGACTATTCTGATGTACCAAAATAGAGAAATAAGTAAGCTTAAGATTCAGCTTGATAATACTGGATAATACTGTTATTGAAATGAGTAACAGGTGTGTGCTCACGTGCACACACATGCTTTATTAGTAAAACACCAGTTTATAACACAATAACTGTATTAAAACTATGTGAATTTTTTTAGTTCAAAATGCAGGGATTGCCTAATTATATGGAATAAAAATCCATTAAATTAAGAATCAGGGGAGAAAACAGCTCATGTTATTTTGGTAAATGGCAAAATTTGTTGAAAACTTCAGGAGCTATAATTTAAATATTCAAACATTATTTTCCTTATTGTAAACTATACCTCAGTATTATAAAGAAAATGTAGGTGACAAATAGACAAAAATATCCAATAAAATGAAGGATAAAAAAGATTATTCATATTGTATATTTTATGGAAAATTTAGCAAATATCATAAGACATGGAAAAGGTATAATACCCCCAAAATGCAAATCACATTTTCATTGTGTATGTAGTACATAATTCCTTATCTAGCTAAAATAGAGGTCAACTCTTCAAAAATGATATATTGCCGGGCGTGGTGGCGCATGCCTTTAATCCCAGCACTCGGAAGGCAGGGGCAGGCAGATCCTCTGTGAGTTCGAGGCCAGCCTAGTCTACAGAGTGAGTTCCAGGCAGCTGGAGCTACAGGGAGACCCTGTCTCAAAAAGACCGAAAAAAAAAAGGTATATCACTAATACAGCTGTCCGAGAAATAAAATCAGTAGCACTTACAGCAAAGTCACAAGGAAATATTAGACAGACAGCAGGAAGGAAAATAGGAATTACTGCAGAATAGGTCTTCAGATTGTGCCAGAACTAGATGAAGAATCTGACACATAACTTCTTGAGAAGCTTTAAAAGCAAAATATCCTTTAAAACAACACCCACTGTTGTAAAATATCCCCAGTCTTCACAGGGAGATATGAACTTAATGTATTGACATTGAATTTCAATTGTGTTTGGGAACAAATTGATTTTAAAAAAATCCCAAGTTTTCATGGAAGAATTACCCAATTGCTAGGTATTTAGTAATTACTAAGGACTGCTAAAGAATTACTCTGTAAATTCTGCAACAAATGCCTAAAAGCCAAAAGCATCAAAGAGAATTTCTATGAAAATGCTTTGTAAAGTTATAATCATGAAAACAGCATGATGAAAGTAAGAAACATCTAGACAGAATAATTATTTTTAAAACCTAAAAAATAAAGACAGGCACAGTAGCAACAAAAATGATATATAAGAGCTAAGAGAACATATAAAGTATAGGCACTATTTTTTTAATTTTTATTTATTCATTTTTATTTTTTGCATTTCTAGGGATTGAAACTAGGGTCCCCTGCATGTTGAGCAAGTGTTCTGCTATTGATCTCTAATTATAACCAGTTGAGTTTGGGGTATAGAAATTGTTTTATATTAAAATATAGTTGTTCATCTCCCAAAATAACACAGGCTATTGCCACAGTCCTTGATTATCTTCCAGAACTTGAAGGTAAGACCCTATTGCTGAAGAATGGGCACACTTTGGATAACAGGACTTTGAGCAATGGAGCTGGAACCGACCTGGAAGCCTCCTCCCTGAAGACTAGCTCTCACAGTTCTAGAGGATACTATGCAAGCTGCTAAGGGAGAAAATCAATCAATGGTCCAACCCAGCTCTAAAGTCTAATAATGACAACTAATGGCCCAGCAAACTGTCTCTATTGGTGCAGTAGTGGCACTTTTATCTAGGGGGTAATTAGGAGTTATCTAGTTGGACTTAAAGTCCTCTCAATGGAAGGGAAGTCATGGGTAGCACTGTAAATATAGCCAAACATACGTGGCTGGAGAGGTCATAGATTCTAGAGAAAACCCTATCTCTGTCATATCTCTAGACAAATGGTATTTCTTACTGTCCGCTAAGTATGAATCCTTATATTTACAAAAAAGTATACCTACCATCAAAGAAGCTTCTTTTTGCAAAACAGATGGAAGCTATCACAGAGTTCCACAACTGGTCACACACAGAGAATACGTGTCTAAGAGCTGTCCAGCCCTAGGTGACACATCTATAGTGGAACCTCTACACCTAAGGCTGATAGATCATAGTGGAACAGGGCATAGAAAGAATACTAACACACCCCTTAATTCTCACCAGCAAGGCTTCCTCCTACGACAGAGTGTGATGCACACAGAAGGCCACAACTGGCTAAATTTTAGAGAATACGGGAATGCAGAGTGCGTATCCCTGGATAGGACTCCTATATTAAAACTCACACACCCAGGCCTCAGGGATCATTGTGGAAGAGGGGTCTGAAAGATTGTAAGAGCCAGGGTTGGTGCATGAACATAAGGAAACAGAGGCTTTTAGGCCACTTGGAACTTGCTTATATAAATTTGTAACAATGGTGTCAGCATGCACAAGACCCATGCCAACTCAATCAGATAAAAACCCAGCATAGAGGGAACCCGGCAGCAGGTCCCAGACCTAGCTGAGGAACTATTGGCAACTGATTACTGTGAGGTGATGGAAAGTGACTCTAGATAGGTTGACTAGACTCTAGTGGATGAACTTGGACTGAGGGACATCTGGGTCCAGATGCTTGACAGGATAGAAGTTAACATATACGACAGAATGCATGTAATCTGGTGGGAGGGGCTATGAGGGGGCCCAGATGTGGGAGGTGGTCTAAATTTGATGAATATCTATTATAGGAAATCCACAAACACTCAATAAAAATATTTTAAAGAAATATCCATTCATAAACCTGAATTTGTTAGTTTTATTTAATTATAAAACACCAGTCAGGTATGGAAAAACAGGAGTTGACTGATAAGCTTCAAGAATATTTGATCTTCCATAAGCTGTGGTTCTCTGTTCCTTCTCTTTCTCACCCCCATGTCTCCTCCTCCTTTCCATGTGGACACATATTGAGAATCCGTTGTCTACCTGCTTAAACAGCTGTGATTATCAACTGTAACTCTCTTCCACTGAAGGAACCTTATTGGAATGTGAGCAACTCAGAATGCATTCAATCTAAAGTTAATTTAATGAAACGCTCAATCTATTAATAAAATTCTATACATCACTGTAACTAACAAAACACAATACTTTTCACAAATTATTAAATTGTACTGTGTAGCTACGTAATGCTTCCAACCTCTGAATAAATGAGCTGGTCCACAGATAAGATCCTTATGCTCTCTCACAGAGCTGTCGAAAGTAATGAATGAATCGTGGCTTTCATTTGGATTCACCAATTCCTAGCTTTGGTCCTCAAACTGATTAACTTAACTTTTCTGATAATACGGATAATGATAACTCCTATTTTGTGTGTTTCTTTTATGTAAGAAGGAAGGTGCTGCATTTAAAGCACTTTGTAGATTGTCACATAACAATTTCTTCTAATAGTGGTTATTTTTCTTGCCTTAAAAGTAAAAGAGGGTTACAAAGTAGAATTTTCTTAGAAATCTAAAATGAGATAGGCATGGTGTTGCACTCCTGTAATCCCAGGAGGATCATGAACTGGACAGCAGCCTGGGTTATATCATGAAAGACTATCTCAGAAACAAAGAAGAAATCAAATCAGGCATTGCTGGAAGGCCTCTGTCTGAAGCATTCATTGGAGTACATAGATGCCTTGAAATTTTATGATCATTAGCAAAATTGCAACAGTCTTCTTTAATGTTCTTTGCTAGAAGTCCATTTTCTACGTGTTTATGTGATATTTCTCTACTCCTTTGTTTTATCAACTGCTTGGTTCACGATTATCTTTGTGAACAAGAGAAAATCCCTGTGGAAAAGCCTTACTTCTAGATCTGTAATCATTACTATTCGGCAAATGACTGACTGTAATTTAGGAATATCTGAGTCATATGTCTTGAAAACACAGGCCATATTACAATAATGATTTACTTCTTTACATTTGGCTTCACGCAAACATGCTGTGATCAGATTCTGGCTTTTGAAATGCTTTTCACAGGATGACTAAAATCAAGACAAAACAAAAAGGGCTAATAAATTTCTATTTCTCATGATGATACCAAGTTCATCTTCAAAAAGAATTCCAAAATAGCATTAAAAAGAAAAGGTGGCAGAGAGGTAGATCAGTGATTAGTTAGGAGAGCTTTCTGCTCAATGTGAGGGTCAGAGTTTAGATCTCAGCCCCAATCAGGTGGCTTACAACTGCCTATAACTCAAGCTCTAAGGGACCTGACACCCTCTTCTCTCCTCAAAGGGCACCTACATACACATATGTGCATACACTCATACAAACACATGCACACACATGTAAATGAATGAAAAGCAAAGTAAAATCCTCTAAAAAAGAAAAAGGGAAAATTAAAGTCCATAATTGTTATACCCCACTAGCTGTGTTAAAAATCTTAAAAGCAGTGATCTCAGCAGACCAGCAGACAGTGCCTGTTTCAGGCTTCACTCTGGCATAGGGGCTGAGAACACAGGGGACTGACTGAGAGCACCCAGCTCCTGCCTCCATGTGGTGGTGAGCCTCCCCTAATTGCACTATACCCAACCCCCTAATTGGGATTGCATGAGCCCCCAACGCCCTAGCTGGGATTGTGTGAGGCCCCTCCCAAGGCCCTGGTGCAGACCTGGCTTTAGTAGGATAAGGCTGAGATCTTAGCAGACAGCCTGAGAGGACAAGTTCTGACTGCCATCTGTGTAGTGGTTGTGATTTCAG